TACACACATACGTTGAGTAGGATAGCATTTCTTGCCACAAATCTTCTTCTATGTGCAATGTCCTTTCTCTAAAATTTCCTCTTTTTTGTAGCTCTTAAATTGTGTCTTTTTGTTATTTCTCTTAAACCTAGCTCCACCATCCATTTACACAAGTAGGTCCTTCATCTGTGTGCCGTGCTACTTCTGGATGTAGGCAGTTATGGTTGTCCACAATTTCCTCTCCTTTGTAGCTCTTAATAGATTTTGTCTTTTTTTACCACTCTTAAACCTAGCTCCGCCATATATTTACACAAGTTTGTCCTCCTTTTGTGTGTCGTGTTTATTCAAGGTGTTGTCAGTCTCTCGATAATTCCTTATCCTTTGTAGCTTTTAATAAATTTTCCTTTTGGTATCTCTCTGAAACTTAGCTCCGACATCCATTTACACAAGCTCGCCCTTCTTTTGTGTGCCGTGTCCCTTCAGAGCGTAAGCGATCATGGCTCTCCACAATTTCCTTTTCTTTGTAGCTCTTAATAAATTTTGTCTCCTAAACCTAGTTTCGCTACACATTTACTCAAGCTCACTAAGTAGGTTATTCATTGTTTTCCTTTGTCCCACTTACCTTCAATCTGCCCTCTGTGTAACACATTTTCCGAACACTCTTTCCTCATTATGTACCCGAGAAATTTCAACTGCTTCTTCCCTTTGTTAAGTATAATCGTCCTTTTTATTTTCATTTTCTCTAAAACTTCGTTGTTGCTCTCATATTTATTGCATTGTATTTTCAGGATCGTTTTATAGAACTATATTTCTGTTTCTTCATCTGTGAAGAATTTGTCCAACATTCGCTACTATATCGGAGAACTGATATTCCGTAATAGTTCAGTGTGCATTTCTTTAATTGTAACAAATTTTTCTTGTTTCTTAATAGTTTGCTTAGCTTTTGGAAGACAATTCTTGCTATATCAATAATCTTCGGATTTTAGTGTCGTACTTTTGTCCCCTCTTAAAAGACTTCGGAGATATTTAAGTTGTTTTACTTATTTTATTTTCGTATCTCCAGTTTGAAACACCAACATTAACAACTGCGACTACAAAAAGTTTCAGGATGTCTCATACGAACGATAGTCCTGGGTATGACGATAAACTACATTCAGCAGCAAGGCCTCTGATCGGAAGATTGGAGATTTTGAGGAACATGGAACCACCACTTAATCGCTGCTATTCCCAGGTCCACCGCGACTTGGAGTAGTAGCACCAGTTAGGGTCCTAGTTATGGGCAAATAGGGAACCCTCAAACAAAAGCAAAACACTATGAAAGTATAAAAAATACCTTTTTATAGTAAAGACACCTTCTTTGATTTCTTAACCATTCGTCCGTGCATTGAATATTGCTATCACATCTGGTCTGGTGCTTCTACACAAGAATCTGCAATGTTATACGTACTTACCTGGGATCTCTGCTTCAGTCTCTTTCCCACCGACGTAACATAGCATTTTCTTTCAATATTTTCATAGTAATTGTTCTGATGAGCTTTCCTCTTTGGTACCTTAAATTCATGAAATTAAGTGAACTACTAGAGGGCAGTTATGTTTCATCATTTTACTGTTGAAATTATTAGATTTAACCGCAAGTTCTATTCTAATAGTTTCTTCTTTCACGTTTCTCGCCTATGGAACTCTTTCTTGGCTTCTTGCTTTCCTGTCAACAATGATCTTTAAAAAAATTATATACTACGTCAATGTCATCATCATTTGAATCCTGTTCTTTTACTGTCATTTATTCTCAATAACGTTCTCTCAGTTTATTTCATTCTAAGTAATCACTTTGGTCTTAGTGGCTTTATCGCCTTACTTGGAGTGAAATGATCGAAAAAAGATACTCGAATTGTACGACGTCATGTTTCAATATCATGACTACTTCCCATGTAATTTTCCTCATATTTTATATACAATACAAAAGCTTCCTCTTTTTACAATAGATTTGACAATATAGTTTATCAATGTCATCTTATGTTTCAGTTATTTTTATATACACTGGAATAAAAAGTTTTAATCTGTAGTTAATTGTTATTTTTACTTTATTAATTCATTCTTAAATTAATTCGTTCTTTTACACACGATCAACCAATATCTTTTGAAATCCGAGTAAAACGAATCGTTTGAATTATTTAATTATCTCAAAATAAAATTTAATTCCATTGCAGAAATCTCGAATTCTTTATAACCTTTAAGTAGTGCGGGATCCAAAGAGTCACGAGTGTTCTCGAAAAACCAACATTTTATTATTAAAAATGCTATATTCCGTTATTGTTTCGTTTTTATAAGTTAAAAATAAAATTACAAATCTTGGCGGTGTTTCGTTAAAACACTGACCTCTGCAAATCACCAAAAGCAAGATAGATAGATAGATAGAAAGATTTGAGCAAACTGCGATAGAAAGATAAATAACTATAAAAAAGGAGATAGATAGATTAGCTGATAGATTGATTAGCATAGGAAGATAGATAACTATGAAAAATGATAGCTAAATTTGAGCAGACTGAGATAGAAAGAATAGACCGATATATCTGAGCAATGAGGTAGACAGGCTGACACACACACACACACACACACACACACACACACATACATACATACATACATACATCTATATGCATATACACTCACGTACACACGCAAAGAAACATATATATTTATATTTATAGGGTGCGCAATTAATTATAAATATTTTTATCAACCCATAAATGTAAGACAACGTAGCGCCAGAATCGTGCAGTATGTACCAAATTTGACCAATCTTTTTTCTTTCAAGCTGTAAGTTAGCGGTTTGAGATGAGAAATCGGCAAGCCTAGTTCGAATTTCAGTCGAGTTCGCTGTATACACTTTCGCTCAAATACTCTTGGGAAACGCATGAAACCATCTGTTTCCCCACCTACTATGGGTTAAATAGTATGTAAGATTGAGCTCTTCAACCTAGCTTAGCACCCAGTCTGGTAGAAGGAAATCTTTGAATTCCTAAACTCGGGTAGATGGAACTCGTTAGCGCAGGAACACCTGTTCGTCTAAAGGAAGGAAAACCCTGATAAAAAGCACCCTCAGCGTAGAGAGGGGTTGGTCGTAGGGCCAAAACACCCCGTCGAACAATTCGATACAGAATCCTTACCAAGAGAGCTTAGGCTTTATGTGTCATGAGGCACCACGAGACAACAGGTAGGTAACACCATGTGAAGAATATAGCAGCTTCCAGTCTGATATAGAAAATGGAAAGGCACATGGTACTCTTGACAATAACTGTCAACCACAGTAACTCAGTGATAGACTGCTTCTTAAAAATAACTCCATGAACGAAAGAACCGACAGGTGGCGCTGCAATGTGCTGAGCCCGCCGTGGTACTCACAATGAAGGGTCTGCTCCCTCCATGATTGATGCTACCCAGAAGTGGTCTCTTCACTCTTCTGAATTCTCTCTCTGTCAGTCTCCCACTCCTCAGTGCACAAAGAAGTTAGATATGACGAACAGACTTGTACCCACGCAGTAGATTCCCTTTCTCCGGGGAGCTGCATTTTGAACTTGGGATTTTTCTTCCAGATTACTTCCTAAGATCCTATCCATTGAGTAGGTTAGCGTCAAAGCTGCTGCGGTTTTAAATTCAATGTCGTAATTCTCCTATACTGGTTGCTACTCAAGGCTAGACAACTCAGTCTGCCCATTTTGAAAGTCGACTCCGGATTTTTCTTCGCGGTTACCTTCTGGGTATGTTATCGGCATAGCTGTTGAGGTTTTAAATTCAATGTCGTAATTCTCCTATACTGGTTACCAGTCAAGGCTAGTCTGCCAAGATTTTTATTTATTCATTTTTTTTACTAAACTTTACCCAAATCCAAGGCTTAAGGGCCACTCAAGGTAGAGGCTTATTTAACCCATAAATGGAGGGAGAGGAGATGGATTCATAACTCTTCCAAGAGCATTTGCTGAATGCAACGGCCTCTGGCGAAATTTGAACCCGGTTCACCGATCCCACTTTTGCACTGATAACCGCTACGTTACAAAATGCGAATTCCAAAGTATCATCGAATGGTTGACAAAACCAACATTGAATCTTACTATCATAGATATGATGGCAAAAATTAACGAGAATTTCCTAATCTGGAGTGTAGTCATTTCCTCGGCCACATCAAGGCTTTTCTTGTGGTTGTTGGCAGTTTTATTAAATAATGTTTTTTTTTCTTCCTAAGTTGAACATATATACAGTTCATACTTATTTTACATTAAATATCCTTGTTTTTGTTTGTAATATAATTCGTTCTCAATTACATGGCGTGCTAAATTTATACAAGGGTCCAACCAAAATAATCAGGAAATTCGAGCCTTCAGCTCAGTGTCGCGTTGTAATGATCAGATTTGCTAGTTTGCCGGGTTTTGGGTAATCAATATGAATCACGCCTTTCCTGTCACAAAGGAAAAGTCACATTCTGAGTCGAGTCATGCTCATTACCTTCATATTCTATTGGTGGGGAGGATGTTCCACTCAGAAGGCTTCTTGCCCCAGAATTGTTGCATTGGGGAGCGTATTCCTGAGAGGTGCTTCTCTGATCACTACAATCTTGGCCTGTTCAAGCCAACCGTTATCTATACTACATATCCACACGTACCCCTTGTTCCTTCCCTGTACGCCCTTACAACATCGTCATTTTGCAAACCTCTACCTTGAGTAGCTCTTGGGCCTTGTTCTGGGTGAAATCTTTTTTTCCACTGTGGCGTTACCTTATTTTTCTTTGATAAAGAGTTCGTATATAGCCACTCCATGGACTTGATTTCCGGTTCGTAATGGTGTCAATCTGTTTCGTCATCGTTGATGATTGGATCCGTTTGATTGTCACCTTCTGACCTGACAATCATTTATTTGGTGGTCATCCTCGCCTTGCGTCATTATCCGTGTGATGTATCTGGCGCAAACCATTGCCTAAGATGTTCCACCCGTAAACCTCTTCTCATGTTTATGTCAAGTTCATTGGTTTACGACCATATCACATTTAATCACCGGTTTCCGTACGATCACCAAAATGAATCAACATCGAGCCGGTCAGTACTTAGATGAGTGGCCGCTTGGAAAATCTAGTTACTGTAAGCTTAGATGTGCTGGCGGTGTAATGGTTAGCAGCTCGGAATGAGAAATCGGAGAGCCGATTTCGAATTCCAGTCGGGTCCGTTACATTCACTTACGCGTAGATAAACTTGGGAAGTGCAGGAATTGAACTCTTCTCCCTTCATCTATGGATTAAATAGTAGAACTTAAAACAATATTCACTCACAAAAAAAAATAATTATAGTAACAATCAAAAATATGCTTCGGCTTTAAATAACCTACAAATAGTTGATAAGTCTTAAAATCAATCAATGATTCATTGATGATATTTAATTCTATGAGACACTTTTCGGTAACGTCGCGTTTAACGTCCGAAATAAATTCTAAATACCAGAATCTACGTTGCATATCTATAAGTCTATCAGTCGCCCATGCTTACAATATTACTGCCATATATAGCCCGGTGCTCCTGCTATATATCTAGAGAGTCTTGATAAAATCAAAAAATCAGCAATATTATTGGTCCTGATCTGGCGTCTCGACTTCAGTCCCTTTTCTACCACCGTAAAGTTGTCTTTTCCATGAATACTTTCATGGTAATTATTCGGATGAGCTTTTCGATACGGTACCTAGACTTTATAAATTTAAGCGCAGCACTAGACTAGCGATGAGGTCTCATCAATGTTTTTTCAAGAATCTCACCCCAAGCAAGGCGGGAGTTCCACTAACAAGTTAGGGCTTACAGAGAGTGAGAATAAGAGTAAAGATGGTTGTTTGAGGAAAGGATAAAGTGAAGAACGGGGATCAAGATCAAGGCATCAGAAGATGTCGATTGACATTACATTTGAATATTTGAAGATTATAGCTATCAGGGAAGCAAGTAAGAGGAAGGGAGTTCCACTGTCGGGAAGTACGAGAGAAGAAGCTGTTGGAGTAGAAGAGGCGGTAACATTTAATTGTTTCGACAGTAAAATGGTGGGACCTAGATGCCAACTTAGTAGCGCGCTTAAATTCATGCACTTTGGGTACCAGTGAAAGCAACTCATCGGAACAGTTGCCGTGAAAATACTTGTAGAAAAGATGGAGGAAAGCTACATCAAGTCGGTGAGAAAATGGCTGTAGTCGAGATGCCATGTCAGAACCTATTATATTGTATATTCGTCTTTGGATTTTGTCAAGAATCTCAATATGAACAGCGGGGTCACCAGTCCATATATGGCAACAGTATTCAATTTAAGGACGAATGGTAGATTTGTAAATCTGAAGGAGGAACTCAGGCGGGAAAAACCTTTTGGCGCGACACAGAGAACCAATTTTCCTTGCAGTAGATGTAGCTATTGATTCAATGTAGTTGTTCCACCTCAGGTCAATGGGAAACGTGAAACCAATAAGACGCAGTGCGACGCTCTTTTGAAGTTGAGCATCAGGCATGTTGATAGGGGACAGGGAGGTTTCTCTATGGTGGGTAAATGAGAGCAGTTTAATTTTGGAGGCATTTCCTGTCCCAGTCAACCACCGATTGGAGGTCAGTTTCGAGATCAACGGCCAAGTTAACTTTGCCGGCAATGCCGGATTTACTATTGAGACAGGAGTAAATGGTAGTGTCGTCTGCGTAGATGTCTACTTGAGAACTGATGGCATCAGGAAGATCGTTGATGAAAATCAGAAAAAGTGTAGGAACCAGGATTAAGCCGTTTGTATGAAAGGAACTGAAAGAGAACCCGTTTAGGACGACCTATATTTCACGGTTTGACAGGAATGAGTGGATTAAATCAAATAATCGTTTTTTAATACCGTATCCCTGAAGCTTACGAAAAAGGCCGGCATGCCAAACCCTATCAAATGCCTTAGAGATATTTAGAGCCACAGCTCGAGTTTCACCGTTATTATCAAGAGCTTGGTATGCAAATTCAGTTTTGGCCGTAAGCACGTTAGCGGTCGACCGGGCAAAGCGGAAACCATATTGTTTGTCAGAGAGATGGGATGTAAGGTGTTTAACCACTTTGGCATCGATTAAAGCCTTAAAGAGTAGTAGGAGACTGATAGGACGGTAGTTAGGTGGGTCAGAAGGGTCACCAGAGATCTTAAAAAACAGGAACAACAAATGAGGACTTCCAGCAGGAAAAAGTCAGTAAGGCAATAGTTACAAAGTTTGGAGAGAACTGGAGCTATCTCAGGAGCACATTTCTTTAGGACTACGGCTGTTATCCCGTCACCCCCACTTGCTTTATGCGAGTCTAATTTAGAGATGATGTTCAATACCATCGACGGGGTTATGCTCATCTCACTCAATAGAGCCTTAGTCCTAGGAGGAAAATCAGGTGTGGGTACTCCGGATGAGTCGAGTGTTGAGTTGGATGAGAATTTCCGAGTAAAGCATTCGGCTTTATCAGCTGACGAAGTTAGGTCTTTGAATTGATTGGATAGAGGAGGGATTGTGAATTTGCTGTTGCTCAGAACACTCTTGCAGAGCCGCCGATAATCTTTAGAAACAAACTTGCGAGATGCAATACGTTGTTTCATTCTATTAGCAAATAGTAACTTTGCTTCACATAAGGACACGCTTGCACTCATTACGAGCAGGGACAAAGAGACGTCTGTTGCAATCAGACATGTCGCTTCCGTGACGGTTATATTGGCTAGATGTGACCATAAGGTCTTTGCTAACAGTTTCTTTTCTCACAATTTTTGCTTGTGGAACTCTCTTCCTGCTCCATGGTTTCCAGTCAACTTTAACCTTCAAAAATTTAAATGCAATGTCAATCGATATCTGCTGTCACGTGATTACTCTTCTTTTGTTACCGCTCCTTAGTAATGTATCTGTTTTCTAATTCTTAAACACCCACTAACCTCTTGTGACTTAGTGGCTTTGCAGCCTTGCTTGGGGTGAACTTACCGAATTGCGTCCCTTCAAATTCTTTACCGAGCCTCATATTTCTTAATGATTCACTGTTATATTGCAACCAATCTATTGAACCGACTAGCAGTCGATACATGTTGTATGATTTTGGATATCCACTAGACACCTCACACTTGTAGCTTTGTAGATATTTTTAATGCAATGGCCGCCTATATGATGTAGGCGATCATTACTCTTCACAGATACCTTTCCTTTATTATCTGTGAGTGAGTTGTCTTAATTTATTGTGACTAATGGTGGAGTGGTTTCCCGTTGCCTTCTGAACAGTTTTCAATTCAGAATAGCCTTTCTCCGGAATTGGCTGTCACCCAAGTTTACAAAGTTCAGTCTGTTATGCTATTTGACCGATAGCTGTGAGGCGGGGGGGGGAGAGAAAAGATGGGTTCATGTCTTTCCATTAGTACTAAAGTGAACGTAACAGGATAGACGAGTATTGAACTCGCCTCGCCACTTTCACTTTCTACGTTGATAACTGTTAAGCTAGCCGCACATGGAAACAAGTAGAAACCTTTTGAAAAAAAAAAATCTACCTGAGTCATATTGTAGATAAGATAGTGAGTTGTATTTGATGTTTGAGCACTGGTAGAATCAAGGATTTTAAAGCCGTAATCCATTTGAAGATTGGCACAATATATTATTTAACTTATAAATTAGTATTCAGCAATATCTAATTGCATTTCATTCTGTAAAAATCCTTAGAAATTCACAGCGAATTCATTACACAGAACCCTTAAGGTAATTATTAAACTAAATATATTCAAGTCTGAAGAAGGTACTATGGAGTAATAGATGGTGGCTCGGATGGAAGAATCAGAGAACTGAGTTCGAGTTCCAGTGGCGTTCGTTACATTCATTTGTGTAAATAACCTTTGTATGAATCCATGTCTTCTTCCAGCAATGAGTAAACATAGTTTAGTGGTTAACTACTTTAATAATTAAATGCGTAGGGTTTCTTACGGGAACATTTTATAGTACATGAAATAAAGGTGGTCAAGAAGAGTAGATGCACAAAATAACAGACCAATTGATTTGCAATGCAAACAAAACATTTATTAAAACAAAATTAACAAAAGCAAAGTTTGAAACAAGAGTTTCTTTTGTTAGACATAAATTGTATACACAAAGAAATGTTTATGAATATAACGGGAACTTACTTTGTTGGTGTGTTTCATGGGCGAAGCGTTTTACAGCCCTTTTAGATTCAGCGTGGAAAGTTCATGTCGGAAGTTTGAAAGAGAAAGAAACCCGGAAAGAGAAATTTACTTTAGATTTCACGTATTTTTGTATTCGAGATCTGCTGCTGATAATATCTTTAATGTCACTACATGTGTCAATCTGAGGACAGTACAGAGGATTTGGAAAGAGATGATTCTAACGGAGCGATCACTAGTAATGGCGACCTTATGCCTCCATTCATCTTCCCACAGGTCTTCAAAATCAACATGGAGGCCACCATCAAATGCCTTGAGGAGGTAGTGCTGCCCTGGATCAAGGAAGTGGCTGCTGGAAGTCCCTATGACTGGCTACGGGATTCTGCACCATGCTACACAATCAAAATAACCCAGTTCGAAAGAAGGAAAACTCCGGAAAGGAAAAGAGAGTTACTTCACGGTTCACGTGTTTTTATATTCGAGAGCAGCTGCTGATATGAATTTTATTTTAGAGCTGCTGCTGATACTATCTTTAATGTCATTACAATCTAAGAGAAAGACAACTCTCAATTCAAAAACTGGGTTCTATAGATTAAATAGCCTCAAGCGTGCTGAGTACGGCGACATCCCTGAACATATAGTCAACTAGGGATGGGTTGCTCCAACAGGTGTGAGAAGGCCGTGAATTTGGATTTGAATTCAAGTCTTATTACACATAATTGATTTTATTGGTGCTCAGAAGCTATTTTATGAAGTTTAAAATCTGCGATTTCTCCTTGTCTCGCGTTTTCCACTCACCCGAGGTGGAACAAATACATTGAATCAATAGCTACATCTACCGCAAGGAAATTTGGTTCTTTGTGTCGCGCCAGAAGGTTTTTCTCGCCTGAGTCCAGCCTTCCAGTCTGTAAATCAACCATTCGTCCTTGCATTGAATACTGTTGGCATATATGGTCTGGTGACCCCGCTATT